TTTTCTTATCCTCCGAACAACATCAGAAAAAACTTGTGTTCATATTACTGGAGTAATTATGGTCCGTGGTTAGAAAGGCCCTTTGATGTTGAAACAGCCAGGCGATATACATCGTATCATCAGGCTTTATGCCCTAAGCAGTGTACAGGCTCTAGATGCAAATCATTTCAATATTCTCCACAATTCTGTGGGCACAGACCAGGCATTACAATGACCCAGACAAGACTGTATAACCCAGTGTGGGGCTATTCTCAGCATAACAGAATCAATTGATGCAGGATAATATTTGTTGGAATCAGGTATTGGGATGTTGCAGTTATTAGGATGCATATGTGAAGGTAAGTTAGCTGGCATCTGAAGACGTTCATGGGAGAAACCGTTGTCTTCATTCTACAGTATAGATTTTAGGGATTTTTAAATCTTTTTATTTTGTCCTTTACTGAGTGTGATGTCTTTGATGTTAGACGTTTGAAGTGTGATTATGTTCTTCATTCGAAACATATGGTGTTATTTGTGAAAAGGATTTTAATATTTTCGGATAATGAATGACTCAGAATTATTAGTAGATTTTGTAATCCAATAATGTTTGATTAGACAAGAACCAGTGAGTTGAAAGGAATGGGTAGTAATTGTGGATAAATTTTGCCAGTGAATTATGTTTTGTGTTAACGCGATGCATCGTTAATTTGTGGCAGCACTTATGTTGTATCAGAATGCTTGCAGTTCTGAGTCTTTAAGGGGCGGTGGGGTAGCCTAGTGGTTAAAGCGTTCGCTAGTCATGCCGAAGACCCGGTTCGATTCCCCACATGGGTACAATGTGTGAAGCCTATTGCCAAAAGCTGCGTAAAACTAAACTCAATCAGAGTACTCTCGTCTTTAAACTTCAGTCCAAGTGAAATTGTTGTTAAAGCTGGCATGTTGTCCACTAAACTCGTATTTTGAGTCAAACATTGTGTGCAAATACATGTATCTGGTCATTTTGTTGGAGTTGTGACAGACATTGTGTGCAAATATCTGGTCATTTTGTTGGAGTTGTGACAAACATTGTGTGCAGATATCTGGTCATATTGTTTGAGTTGTGACAGACATTGTGTGCAAATATCTGGTCATTTTGTTTGAGTTGTGACAGACATTGTGTGCAAATATCTGGTCATTTTGTTTGAGTTGTTTTTGTGATTGTGACAGACATTGTGTGCAAATATCTGGTCATTTTGTTTGAGTTGTGACAGACATTGTGTGCAAATATCTGGTCATTTTGTTTGAGTTGTGACAGACATTGTGTGCAAATATCTGGTCATTTTGTTTGAGTTGTGACAGACATTGTGTGCAAATATCTGGTCATTTTGTTTGAGTTGTGACAGACATTGTGTGCAAATATCTGGTCATTTTTTGAGTTGTGACAGACATTGTGTGCAAATATCTGGTCATTTTGTTTGTTGTCAGACATTGTGTGCAAATATCTGGTCATTTTGTTTGAGTTGTGACAGACATTGTGTGCAAATATCTGGTCATTTTGTTTGAGTTGTGACAGACATTGTGTGCAAATATCTGGTCATTTTGTTTGAGTTGTGACAGACATTGTGTGCAGATATCTGGTCATTTGTTTGAGTTGTGACAGACATTGTGCAAATATCTGGTCATTTTGTTTGAGTTGTGACAGACATTGTGTGCAAATATCTGGTCATTTTGTTTGAGTTGTGACAGACATTGTGTGCAAATATCTGGTCATTTTGTTTGAGTTGTGACAGACATTGTGTGCAAATATCTGGTCATTTTGTTTGAGTTGTGACAGACATTGTGCGCAAATATCTGGTCATTTTGTTTGAGTTGTGACAGACATTGTGTGCAAATATCTGGTCATTTGTTTGAGTTGTGACAGACATTGTGCGCACATTCCTTGTCCTGGGCCTAGATTTTCGAAGCTCTCTCAGCGCTAAGATAGTAGGAAGTATGTTAATGTATGGCAGTCACTGTTTACGACTATCTTAGCTAGCCAATTCAGAGTTACTCCTGTCATATCTTAGACAATAAATGGCTTAAATCAGGTGTGAGCGTTTCAGGATAGTGTCCGACTTTGTGTACAGATATCTTGTCTTATTTGTTGGTGGCGGTGGGATGTCCTAGTGGTTAAAGTGTTGGCCCTCGTCACACGGACAAGGAGACGCCTTTGTGGGTTCGATTCCCCACATGGGTACAATATGTAAAGCCTATTTCTAATGTCCCCGAGATAATTCGTGTTTGATATTGCTGGAATATTGCTAAAATATGACAAATCTGTGGGAAGAGAATGCCCGCCATGAAACTAAACTCGGCTTAAAACTAAACTCACTCACTCACTCATCTTATTTGTTGGGTAATGACAAAATACAGACATCTTGTGATTATATTTGTTGGAGACCTATTAAGATCCAAGTCAGAATTGATCTTCAGTAACCATTCTTGTCGCAAGAGGCGACTAACGGGATCGGGTTGGTCAGGCTCGCTGACTTGGTTGACACATGTCATCGTATCCCAATTGCGTAGATTGATGCTCATGGTGTTGATCACTGGATTGTCTGGTCCAGACTCGATTATTTACTGAGACCGCCGCCATATAGTTGGAATATTGCTGATTGTGGCGTAAAACTAAACTCACTTGCTCGCTCATTTTATTTGTTGGGTAATGACAAAATACAGACATTTTGTGATGTATTTGTTGGATAGTCAAATGCAATGTAGTGTCAAATACTGGACACAGGTATTTTATCATGATGTTTACAGGGTTGTCAGACACTTGACATGCATGTCCTGTCATCCAATATGTCCTGTCATCCAATATGTCCTGTCATCCAATATGTCCTGTCATCCAATATGTCCTGTCGTCCTATATGTCATGTCATCCTATATGTCCTGTCATCCTATATGTCCTGTCATCCTATATGTCCTGTCATCCTATATGTCCTGTCATCCAATATGTCCTGTCATCCTATATGTCCTGTCATCCTATATGTCCTGTTATCCAATATGTCCTGTCATCCAATATGTCCTCCAATATGTCCTGTCATCCTATATGTCCTGTTTCGAATACACATTGTTGCAATACTTCACCAGCTCAAATCCCAGGATGACTCCAGTGTGGATCAGCATAATACTAATCCTCTTGGATTTCAGAAATATCTACAACCTAACATTGTGATTATGTTAACACAATGCTATAAAAAAGTGCACATGACAGTAACATTGTGAAGTATGTTGACACTATGCTATAAAACAGAAGCACTAATGACAGTAACATTGTGAAGTATGTTGACACTATGCTATAAAACAGATGCAAATGACAGTAACATTGTGAAGTATGTTGACACTATGCTATAAAACAGAAGCAAATGACAGTAACATTGTGAAGTATGTTGACACTATGCTATAAAACAGAAGCAAATGACAGTAACATTGTGAAGTATGTTGACACTATGCTATAAAACAGAAGCAAATGACAGTAACATTGTGAAGTATGTTGACACTATGCTATAAAACAGAAGCAAATGACTACATTGTGAAGTATGTTGACACTATGCTATAAAACAGAAGCAAATAACAGTAACATTGTGAAGTATGTTGACACTATGCTATAAAACAGAAGCAAATGACAGTAACATTGTGAAGTATGTTGACACTATGCTATAAAACAGAAGCAAATGACAGTAACATTGTGAAGTATGTTGACAGTATGCTATAAAACAGAAGCAAATGACTACATTGTGAAGTATGTTGACACTATGCTATAAAACAGAAGCAAATGACAGTAACATTGTGAAGTATGTTGACACTATGCTATAAAACAGAAGCAAATGACAGTAACATTGTGAAGTATGTTGACAGTATGCTATAAAACAGAAGCAAATGAGTAACATTGTGAAGTATGTTGACACTATGCTATAAAACAGAAGCAAATGACTACATTGTGAAGTATGTTGACACTATGCTATAAAACAGAAGCAAATGACAGTAACATTGTGAAGTATGTTGACACTATGCTATAAAACAGAAGCAAATGAATATGGATAATGGACATATAGGATGAAAGGAACATGACAGTAACATATTGGAGTATGTTGACACTATGCTATAAAACAGAAGCAAATGGACATTATGAAGTATGACAGGATAAAATAGGAGCAAATGAGGACATATTGTGAAGATGTTGACATATGCTATAAAACAGGATGAAGGACATATTAGGAAGATGTTGACACTATGCTATAAAACAGAACAGGAATGACAGGACATTGACATAAGTATGTTGACACTATGCTATAAAACATGAAGCAACATATACATGGCAGGGCATAGACATATTGGATATGTTGACACTATAGGATGACTATAAAACATATAGGGCGAGTAGGACATATTGGATGACAGGACATATAGGATGACAGGACATATAGGATGACAGGACATATTATATGACAGAAGCATATTGGACATATTGGATGACATGACATATGCTATAAAACACAGGACATATAGGGTTGACATGACATTATTGGATGACAGGACATACAGGATGACAGAAGATGACATATTGGATGACAGGACATATTGGATGACAGGACATATTGGATGACAGGACATATAGGATGGCAGGACATATAGGATGGCAGGACATATAGGATGCTATAAAACAGAAGCAAATTACAGTAACATTGTGAAGTATGTTGACACTATGCTATAAAACAGAAGCAAATAACTACATTGTGAAGTATGTTGACACTATGCTATAAAACAGAAGCAAATGACAGTAACATTGTGAAGTATGTTTATACCACACTTGGAAACAGACCCAATACATAATAGCACAAATGAACCTTCCAGGGTGTGATGGTATAACCAGGGGAATATGTAGACATCACAACTCTGAATCAGGTGGTGTGTTGAAGGTGTGTTTTGGGCGACCTCCCCAGCATTTTAACGAAATCAAGTGTTTGTTATATTTCCCCAATGTTTGTTCCTTGTTGCAGGCGACAAGAAGGAGAATGAAGACCCTATTCGTACAAACACGGTCAAGAATGGAGGCAGCAAGAGAGAGAGGGCGGCGAGGAAACAAGAAGAAAAGTTGACGTTATCCCCCCTCAAATCAGCAAACACAAACTTTGTAAATAATGGAACCGTGAATGTTTCAAATACACGAGATGTGCAAGACAGTCATAAAAGTGACAAGTTTATGGTAAGACAGGGTTGAAAAAAAAAGCCTGATATTTTGACATTTTACCCTACATTTGCCCTAATTGCCTGTAATTTGCTCTATATTTAGCAAAACCTGTCAAATTTTACAGGAAACTGAAATACCGCCTCCGTGGTGTAGTGGTTAGAGCGTCCGCCCGGAGAGCGGAAGGTCACGGGTTCGATTCCCCGACCGCGTCATACCAAAAGACGTTAACAGATGGTACTTGTTGGTCCCTGCCTGGCGCTCGGTATTAATGGGTACAACAAGGAGCATGGATCTCACTGACGATGATGTTTATAGGGCTAATTGCCTCCCATATTTATACCGTATTTAACATTGCTATACTACTATACGTCTCTCATGAACTGGTTTGCACAAACAGTGTTTAACCATGTGTGTCATCGATATACTGGTTTGCACAATCAGTGTTTAACGATGTGTGTCATCGATGAACTGGTTTGCACAATCAGTGTTTAACGATGTGTGTCATCGATATACTGGTTTGCACAATCAGTGTTTAACGATGTGTGTCATCGATGAACTGGTCAGCTCGGAGTCAGTATAATGTGTCTGAGTGGGGTATTCATGCTCACTGCAGCATGGTATCTCAGTGGGCTAGCACTATAAAACCAGCTTAAGTCTGGGCTAGTACAAGCAGCCGCACATACACATACACACGCATCCACGTCATCATATGAGCCGAAATATTCACAAAACGACGTTAAACCCAATTTCGCAGTCTGGATCAGACAATTCAGTGATCAGAAGCATGAGCATCGATCTACGCAATTTGGAACCGATGACATGTGTCAAGTGAGCAAGCCTGACCACCCGACCCCGTATCTTACTGATATATTATATACTAAACCAGATCATATATCATGAACTTGAATCAGTTAAACTAACAGTGTGAGGGAAAGATAAGACGCTGTAATCTGCCGAGATACATGTACAAACTGTGTCCATGTTCCATCACGTTTCTAGTAAACAGACCATGAACCATTTGTTTGGTTTGTTTTAGGAGAGTCGAACACGGACATCCTTCAAGGACAGGCCGGCACCAGGCAATCCTCAAAATGTGCAGTAAGTATTGCTGATGTCTGCATTGTCGTTTACAATGAATAGAAGAAAATATCAGTGATGGGCATGTTTGTGAAGAGCACTGTTGCAGAGTCTGTGAGTGGCATTTAGAACTGATACACATAAATGCAAGAATTTTGTGGATGTCAACTTTTTTTTTCTTATATAGCTGTCTGTTCCTAATTGTTTCATTCACCTGATGGAGTAAGAATATACTTCGAAACGTCGTAACCCTTCACACCATTGTTGTAGTTAATGAAGTATGTTGTTTCATTTTTGTGCAAAGCGTAAGGATATAGTATGTATAATATGTGTATATGGTATATATAAAGTATATATTGTATTAACCAAATATTAGCAGTGTCACTACCATTCATTAAAAATATTTTTTTGTTTAATTCTTTCTACTGCATTTTCCATAATAACTGACTCAACATGGGGAACATATTTAATGTGCAAGAATTTTATTTGCTTCCAGAGATTCCCTACTAGTGAGCAAATTAAGTTCAAACATAACTGTTACCGTGCAAGTATGTAGCAATTATCGGGGCGGTGGGGTAGCCTAATGGTTAAAGCGTTGGCTCGTCACGCCGAAGACCCGGGTTCGAATCCCGACATGGGCACAATGTGTGAAGCCCATTTCTGGTGTCCCCTGCCGTGATGTTGCTGGAATATTGCTGTAAGCGGCATAAGACCAAACTCAGTCAGTCAGTGTAGCGATTATCAGTTGATGTTTATTTTTCGAAGTAATGTGTCCAAAACCAAACAAAAATACAGGCCATCTTAAACTTTGTGTTATACAGATTACATACAGATTGGTGTGGCAGATTGTTGGTGGATGATTTTAGAATGGGCTTTCAGTATGGTAAATACGGTAAACCTAGTTCATTTGTGGACTGTTTTATCAGGTTTTTTTATTGTTACCTTTTCCTTTTCCTTTTTTCAGAAATCTTACAACTAGTCAAATAGAATTTTTCAAAATGCTGGATGAAAAAATAGAACAAGTAAGTAAGAAATGACTGCTTTGTCAATACCTTTTTGCTTCATCTTATCCAATATAGTTAAGCTACAATGGAAACTAAAACAGGATTTTCCATGCTTAACACATATGTGTAAATAATGTGTGTGTTCTGAGCTCTATGGTAGAATGTGGCCCGGAAACCTCATTCAGATATTGAAACAATGGTCCAATTATGAAGATATAATTGTATGCACAGTGCCCTTAGATTCCGCAAGTCATTATATAGAGTTATGCCCCCTCTGTAGTTACAGGATTTGCTGATCATGGGTTTCACAAATTCTTGATTTGTTCTGATTGATATTCTTGTGCAAATGCTGTTGTGAGTTATGACCAATATCCTCTTGGTGTCTCTGCTCACCTGAAGCCAGTGACCATGACTGAATTCATATTCTGATTGTCATTAATCCTGGTTCATTTACTCATGACAAGATTTCAACATTTTGTCCACAGGGAAGAGACTACTATGTGGAGGAATCCTCTGAAGACTGACCTCAACCCTCCACCCATCTCATTGAGTAATGGACTCTCCCATCCTGCCAGCTATCCCACATGCAACATTGTTTGACAGCCATGGTACAACAATGTTTCAGTTTAAAATCAACATTGTTACATCAGATACTGTTTTGACAGCCATGGTACAACAATGTTACAGAAGTGTTTCAACAATGTTATGTTAGAAGTACAACATTGTTATTCAGATATTATGAGACTGACCTGGTAAAACAATGTTACAGAAGTGGTTCAACATTGTTACAGCTGTGTTACACTGTTGCATCTCCTCGACAAGTGTGGTTCTCCACCATATGCTCAGACTCTTCTCATGTTTCCATGGACAGTGTCTCTTAACCACATGTTCTTATTCCTTGATTACTCACACTGACTCAACAGGATGGAAGAATCGGCTTGAATGTGCTGCAAGATTGTCATCAAGATTTCTCAGGATTATGGATGGAAACAAATGTACAAGTGTCCGATCTAAGATTTGAGGCCACTGTTCCTGTGATATTAATCCATACATTTGTTTATTATCCTTTAATTCGGTAGAATAGTTCTGCAAGAATATTTTTTGTGGAACTCTTGTAGTGAATATGCTATCATTTCATTTAGACTGTTTGCATTACTGAAAACAATGTTCATGTTATGTATACAAGGGCTTAATCAAAAGGTATATAGAATTCTGGTAATTCATGTAGAAGATTCCAAGCTTACTGTTTTCCCACAGTCAGCTGTGGGACTGGAGTAATAATTATGAATTTGCTTTTCTAAATATTTATTGTTAGATGTAACTCTGTACCTGACCAGCCTTGGTGACCAGCCTTGGTACTTGTGTAAGGTTATTGATCTTTGGAAAATAGTTTATGATAACTTGATACTCAATGAATATTTTAAATAAGAATGACAAAGCAACAAATGCAATATTGTTGGGGTTTTTTTGGTCTAAACTGGAAAGTGTTTATGATCTTAAAACATGTCCAGATAATAGGGTACCATAACAGAACTGAAATATTAAGATGTAAACCATACACGAACACAATATATCAGAAACGAGGTTTTTTTCCTGATAAAAGTAGAAAAAAACATATGGTTGCTGGTTTTGTCCAAGCCTGAATTGTCTGTAGAGTAGCCATAAAAATTGTCAGTAACAGCAACTTAATTAGATTGGGTTTTTGTGAATCTTGGAAAGGGGATTTCTTCTACCAATTAGCTTGTGACAAACAATGTTTTTCATTGATGAATTTTGACATTATTTACAAAACCTTAACGTGAAACTAAAATTGTGACACATCAGGCTGAAACACACACAAAAGCACCTTATCTCCAAACATTCAGCAAATAAATAAGTCGTTGTTTGCCGCCATTTAGCAAACCTGTGTTTTAGTCCTGCCCAAATATATCTTCTCTGAGTGAGGTATTTGACAATATGTTGGATGTTTGGATGAAAATTGCAAAATGATGTATACCCAGTGAACAAATTCTTCAAACATGAGTAAATAAATGTTGTGTTTTGTTAAAATTTATTGCAAAATATATTTGACAGCCACTGAAGGGTGAAAAAGAGAAAATTAAAGGTTGATAGAATATACTAGATAGCAACATCTTCATTGGTTGAGTCTCATGCCATTGCTATTTTATCCATATTGATATGTGATATTATTTATCAACCATTGCCACAGGGGGAGGTAACTCCTTTGATATTAGTTTGTTTTATGAAGCACCTGTTGGGTACAGCAGTTTGGTATGGTGAGATGTTTGTATCTGTCCGTGCACACAAGCATTATAGGTTAGCTGTGCATTATCATTTCCCTTACGTGTTGCTTGTTAAACAGTCACAAACTGATGATTTAATTAGGGTAAACAAGACCATTAATAGTGTTGAAGGAGCCTTTATTACATATATACAGCCTTTATTTGCCTAATCAAGTACAGTATAGACTTTAAGTTGAGGGTTGGTTGGGGTGCTATGTTCAGGCACATCTCCTTGTTCGAATAACTGAAAGGTGATGTGACGTGCACTTAAGTATCCAGTTTGAAAGTTACTGGCAAACAAGGATAAGTTGAGCACCGACCTGGCAATTGACCCGTATTAGCATGTATGAGTGCCGCCCACTGGCGCTTGCCATTGTTAGCGAAGGGGCTCCAGGTTGTCCATGACCAAATGTAGTGCGATGGGTGAAACGCTTGGCCTGTCTCAGCAAACACCAAGTTCGACAGTTGCGAGCGGAATCAATTTCATTGTCATGCAATGCACGTGCACAAGCCTACATCTGCTCTACTTTTCACAAACCAAATGGGTTTGCTCATTGCCGCGCACCGCCTACTTCTCATAAACGCGTTCTCTGTGCCGGTCCAACTTATCCTTGTTTGCCAGTAATATGCACACAATCGACAGGAAAAAACATAGCAATGTTTTCAATAAATTTTCTGGATATTTATGTTCTAGCCAAGGACAAAAGTTTCAGAACTATGTTCATGGTTGATTTGTGAACTATTTAATTCTTTAAGCAAAAATACAGATGAAAATAAGTATGTTATAGAAGAAAACATCTTTTTGAACTTATTTCTGCTCCTGCATGTACAATTCTTGACTTATATTGTCAGTATATTTTAACAGACAGAAAATGTTTATTGTTCAAACTTGATAGAAAATTACTTCATGAACTCAAATTGAAACACCTGAGAACCAAAGGAGTTGTATTTCAAATGAAAAAGTAAAACGTCCTCAACTTGGAGTGTACTGCATAATATTTTATTGTATGAGCAGTAATATGTTCTTTTTTGTAGCATAATAGTTTTAAACAATGTGGTAATTATTTATAATCAAAGGAAGTGTCATTAAGTTACATTTCAATTCAGTATCGATATTATTTATTGGAACTGAAGCAATATTTGCAGTTATTCTTTGTTCCTTTACTTATTTTCAAAAGCATATATAAATATTTCTATGGCTGAAAAAAATCATGTGACCACATGCTTTGATTTACTTTTGTTGACATGTGTCCTGTGTTATTTAAAAAACAAATTCAGTCAACATAAGGAACTTGTGCCAAAAAAAGGTTTTTCACTGTTTTGCATAATGAGTAATAGACATGCTGGGTATGCTATTGCACTGGTATTCTGCTGGATCAACTGATATTAAACAAGTATTGATACAATGTACCTAGACAGCTTCATTCATTGGACCATTAGTATGCTGCAGAGTGATACGTGGGAATACACCAGGATATAATGTGTTTATTGTCTATGCATGTCATAAAGCTGTCATACTCTGTGGCAGCTCATGACCAATGTTTTACACAGTGTAGGAATGGAATAACACTGGAAGGAGCTCTGCATGTGTATCATTCAGATTAAGTTTGCAGTTTCTGTGTCCTACATGGATATTGTAGGTAGCGATTGACATGTTGCATGATGTCATCCGGGATAGCAAACCGGACAGTCCTTTTGCATATTTAAACAACATGGCAGACAATTTTGATGAAACCTTTTCCTAATAGTGACAAGAAATCAGGTTTATGAATGCCACCATATATCATCTAATGTGATAGACAAGTGAACTTGTGATACCAGTGAATCCTCCAAATGCTGGAAGATCTGATCTATGGATGTAAGCAAACTGAACACAGAGCAGTAAAACTTTAGTATGGTATACTGATGGTGTCTTAGCCATTGAACATGATATTCTTACTGAAATGGTTAATAGATCAAGAATTAGCATACACCAAATTGTCTGAAGATGAGTATTGATGGTTCAAGCTGAATAGGTTTCACTGTATTGTGCCACAGTAACTGATAAACGATTATTGTCCATATACAGATATGTGATGAGACTTAGTTACTAACCAAGATGGCGGAATAGGAATAACACTTTAGTACATAGATGACAAGGTTAGTATCTGTTGAACGTGCAAATATATATCTGGGCATGTGCGACTTCTGTTGTAGGGTTGATGGGTGATTCAAGAGAGCTCCTGCATAAGTTTATATTCCTCATCTACAATCTGGCTACAACACTGTTGTACACTTGTATCTTACTCATGGGCATCGTGTTGACAACTACGCTAAAATGCTTTGGAATTGCAGACATCTGGTTTCATGTATTCATTAGTATTCATTGAATAATTGCAGCAGTCATGAGTCATACATAATGGATGATTTTGAAATGTCTACTATTTCTGTAAGCAGTTATTGCAAAAACTGGAGATATTTTATTGTCAAGGGCTGTGTGCTGTAGTCCGGCTGGGATTAGCTGGATCAGGATACAAGTTGCTAATGGATAGTCAGAGAATAAGCGTAATTATTTGTTCAAAATTGCTTTGAGCATTTTTATACTTATTCAAGTTTGATATACTCATGGAAACAACGAAAAAAGGGAATACATGAAAGTACAAGTGTTCTTTTATTTATTTCCTCCACAATGCAATACAAAGCTTGTGAAGAAACGTGTAAAAGAATAAAGGAACACGTGTATTTTCATGTGTTCCCTTATTCGTTTCCATGAGTATATTAATGAAGCCTACAAATGTCCCAAGAGTGAAATCCGGTAATAAATATGTTTGTTGTTTCTGTTGGTGATTCAGATATTTTATTGTCCTGTTTGTTGTTGTATATTTCCTATATGGTTGATTGCAGACATATGTACATGACATCTGTTGACCCCTCTGAGGCTGATCAGAGATATTGTTAACCCTTTCCATACTGTAACGTAAGGCTTGTTTACTTATTTAACTGTTTACTTTCAAGCATATCAAGGCCAGTTCTGTTTGAGCTTTATGATTAACCCTACGTTTCATTTGAACATGAATGTGCCCTCAGCACTGAGAGGCCTTGTGGTATAAGACATCGTAATTCCCTAGTATCGGGATCCTCTGGTCATGTGATCCATTACCACAGTTGCTGTTCTTCATTGGTCTATGAACACGTGTTATATATACGTGGTAAGCATAAGTAATCTGCAAAATTTCAATGTTTTTTCTTGCACAGAAGGCTGCCTTAGCAGTAACAATATTTCTGTTCCAAATCCTATTATAGAACCTTTCCATTTCAAATGTTTTTTTAAAGCCTTATGACATGAATTTTTGGCTATAAAATTTATGTATATCTGGCTTTGTCGTTTCATAGATCATGACTGCTTATTACAGTGTCCATACTCTTACTTTGTACAATCATGGTCTCTCAGAAATAGTTAGCCAACATATGAAAAAAACAGGTTATGCTGATTTGCTTAATGCAAGAACAGGATTTTTAGCCAAATGATTCTGACTATTGAACTTTTTTTGTTTGTAAATGACAAATGTGAGCATGTTACCCAACAACTGCTTGTAACCCCAATAATTTTTTTTTTTTTTTTTGCGACTGCTTTAATGTTGAGACACCGGAACTCTTATGGGTATTGCTAAGAAGCCAAATGTGCTCATTGTCTTGTAATGTTATGAGTTTTATGGTGTCCCATTAATAGAATTGAACCACCTGGAAGAATTTCAGGTTTCCGTTTTGTGCAATATTATTGTCTAAATTTACTATATCTGTACTTTTAATTTTTTATATAGCCATGGGATTTGAGGGTTGAGTGAGCAAATACCATATTCTCTGTATTAAGTGCCCTACCTTAAAAAGCACCCTCTACTAAGAACAAAAATGTTTATCCTCTTCTCTGGACAGTGACATAAGAAAAATGTACAACTCGCGAGTTACCATTATCGAAAAAGATTTTTCAAATGTCAGTTCCCAACTACTTGGTGTCTTACACTAAGATGGTGCGTACAGTTCAACTTGCAGTGACAGCCAAATATTTTGTCAAGCATAAGTTAAAATGAACTTTTAAATAGGACTCTCCGACACATCTATTGTGAGAGTGCACCTGTTTTGTAGCCATTAGTCCAGAGTTTAGTCCAGAGTTTCAAAGCTCTCTTAGCGCTAAGATACTCGTAAGTGTATGGCACTTACGACTATCTTAGCGCTAAGAGCTTCTGACACCCAGGTCGACCATCAAAGAAGCTAAATACTGATACATCTGGGACTGACGATTGCAGCCATAGGACATCTTGTTTTTCCATGTTCAGGCGGCAGCAGCAAGTGCTAAATCATGTCATAAGTTTTCTTGATTGTTGCACTCGGCTATGTGGCGGCAGTCTGGATCAGACAATCCTGTGATCAACAGCATTGTCCTACACAAATGGGTCACAAGTAAGCAATTGAAGGGTAGTATTAGTATGGGAACTTAAGAAAGTAAGGTTTATTCGGAAATGTATAACGTTTTTTTTTTCCAAGTACAAACCTGATTATGATTCTCAATGCCACCCAGATCATCTTCTGCTCAAAGTATCAGGGCTATTTCAACAACACTCATTTCAAATTCTACAAAAAAAAAGTTTTTATTTATTCAAGAATATACATTTCATGTATAGGAAAGAAGGGTACTAAATACGCTCAATATGCAACGTCATTACCTTCGCTATATTGTAAGACTTTGTATCAAAGCAATACCAGCTGGTCTAGTGCACAATCTGACATACTCGTGGACGCTGCAGGCGGTAGCACATACCATGGCCATCTTTTAATGCATTTTGAATTCAATAAAATTTACAAGTTCATTTTGAGTTTTGCTCTTTATTAATAATCTTGAAAATATTTACCAAAAAGTGGGAGGGGAAGGGGGTTGGGACTTTGCCCGATAAATTTGTTTGTTGGACATCCTGAAACAAACCTGGGAGTCTTTTTCGCCAACAACTTCAACTCCTGGAAAGGGACCCAACATTAATTTGTAAGAAAGTTTTGACTAAATTTTACTAACATGATAATGCAATATAAGAGTTATTCGAATGATATGCCACAGCATGTGGGGCATAAAATAGGATCATGGATGATATTAATTTCAATATCCTGGAAGAAGAGCTTGAGCCAAATGCTCATTACATATAGTATGGAATTGTATTTCTGTATGTACACATCGAACTACACTGAGAATTTCCAAGGTGTTTCTGGAATAATTTCCTGCTTCAAATATTTATTGGCAAAGGTTTTACCACATGGTAAATATGGAAGAAAGTTATAAAGGCACACTTATGCTACTTATTAAGAGAAACTGCCATTTATCCATAGCACCATCTGTAAAAAGGCATCTTTGTCACTATTGTTAATGTTAAAAATATACTGGTGAAAAAAATATAAAGGGTGATAACCCGCAGCATATGACACAGAAATGCATTTGTAAAAGTGGGCGCCATGCATTAGCACACTGGTCACGTGCAAAATATACATAGCATCACTACTCTCATCTCGGTAAACAAATGGACTGGGCCATTATTACTCCTGTTTCATCACATGAAGTATGTACATGTTACCTTCAAACAGCATATCCAGTGTTGAGAGAATCACTTTGCATTTTGATAAAGATGTGAAAAGATTGCTGTAATCAAGAATGACCAGTTTTGCAAAAATATTTGGGTAAATGAGTCGGAAGGCAAAAGAAATACAGAAATGTTAAGTTTTGTTTCAGAAAATTAACCAGCTAACAAAAAACAATTGGGCCTGACACCCTTGTAAGGATATCTGGACACTGAAAGTTCATATAAACATGAAGTACAATTCTATATTTTATCATGTATAAATCCCACAAGGCACATGAAATAACCAAATATTCTTCAAGGTGTGAAGAATTCATGGATTTAATCAAAAATAGAAAATTCTGGAAATAAATGTTGAAAATTAATACGGCCATGCTGAGACCGATATGTGTATAATGAAGGTGGTTTGGTACTGTATATGAAGTCTTCGATTATCATACGACTTCGCTCGCACTTTAATACGATACACCTGATTGTCTTGTAATGGTTCCTTGGTGAAGACTACTCCTTTACCATTCTCTAATCGAATCAAAAACTCAATTTTGGGGTCATTGTCAAGAATCTTGAAAGTAGTCTGAATGAGGATTTCGTCATTCTGGTTGTAAGCCGTCAATCGGATGAGATCCTGGGCAACGTTGCCGCTTGGGAGGGAGAGGGTGCGGAACTGGATGACGTCTGCGTACTTTGCTCCAGGAGGGCAGGGGATGTTGGGGTTCACACACTCCAGAACACAGAACCTGCGCAGACATTGAAAAGTGGTGAGTGTGGTTTTACCCAACCTTTTGCATAATTTTCACATTTCCAAACAGATAGATGCAGTGAGTGAGTTTAGTTTTACGCTGCACTCAGCAATATTCCAGCTATATGGCAGCAGTCTGTAAATAATTAAGTCTGGACCAGACAATCCAGTGATCAACAGCATGAGCATCGATCTACGCAATTGGGAACCGATGTCATGTGTCAACCAGGTCAGGACCACCCGATCCCGTTTGTCTCCTCTTACGACAAGCATGGGTTACTGAAGATCAATTCTAACCCGGATCTTCATGGGTAGATTGATGCAGGATCCATTTGGGGAAGCAAACCAAGGCTTGTCTTCATGAGCCAACGCTTCAACTACACTGATTGTTTTAAACAGATAGTCCCAGAATTCAAGATCAAGTGTGAGCGAGTTTGGTTTTACGCCACTTTTAGCAATATTACAGCAATATCACCACAGTAAGGGGACACCAGAAATGGGCTTCACACTTCAAGAACAAGAAATATATATGTCAGCATTTCTCTCATATTTGTTTCTGTTTTCGATAAGGATGAGCAAAACAGTCTTTTTAGGTTTTCTGTGATAATTAAATTTAATTAATTAAACATCATCTCATGTTGAAACCTACTTGTGACAATGCGGTTGGTGAGAAACTTCATACTGCAATATATACCATTCACAGAAGTAGGGGATATTCCATTGTGCGAGCATACCACTGACTGAGTTTGATTTTACTCTGCTTTTAGCAATTTTCCAGCAACATCACACCAGAAATGGGGGCAAGATTACAGAATACCGGATACCTATCCGCCATTTTTATTTTGATTGAGCATTTATTTTTGCGCACTTCCATTTTGTTTCCTTAGCAACGGCACGCGATGAATGAAGGCTGTGTTGAAGCAGCGTTCAATATTAAATATTAAATATTAAACAATATTAAAGCTAAAAAAAGGTAAGATAATTGGGGTAAAGGGGGTACCCCCCTTTATTTAAAAGCCTTACCTACCTTACCTTACCAATAAAAATCACTTACCATCAGAGTGTTCCCACACTGTAGAGTTCCTTTTCCCAGCATGCATTTGAATAAAATTTAAACACACGATTACTTTTTACTCTGTTTACGTCAGTGAACGCTGTTAAAATCCCCAGTTTAGGTTTCCTAAACTGGAAGTAAGGTGAGGAATTCGATTTTAACCTTATTTTTTACCTTAAATTCGTATTTTTATTGGATCGCTCGCAGGCTCGCGCTCTCTGTTTCTTCTATATATAGGAGCCTCACGCGCACAATAGAATGTATATAATTAGGTATCCGGTATTCTGTAAGTGTACCGAAATGGGCTTCACACATTGTAGCAATGTCAGGATTCAAACCCGGGTCTTCGGCGTGACGAGCCAACGCTTTAACCACAAGGCTACCCCACCGCCCGCGAGCATACCACCAGCCAATGCCAATGCATATGAGAAATAGTAGTATATATCCATACAGATGAAACATTTCCAAAGGAATGGAATAAATTGTCATATTTTACCTTAATCATCATTTTCTCTTCATCATCTGTTTCCTCCTTGGCTTCATCATTTGCATTTTATCAATCTTGTAAATTCAATATCCCCTACTTCTTTTGAATGGTATAGATAAAACTTTACGGATAACAACTTCTTTAATTTCGTGAGTGCGACATTTTGATACAGATTCTTGTACCGTTGTCACCTAGGAGTCGCTCACGAAATAAAAGAAGTTGATATCAAGAAAGTTTGTTCTACATTGTACTTCCCAACTTCCCAGATGCCACTCAAAGAAGTTACATACTGCGTGGTGGGATCACGGGCGTAGTCCACAGGGCAGGGGATGTCGATGCAGGAGTGAGAACCACGAGTGTTGAAACACATCTTCTCAAAACCACAGTTGATCCGCTTCTCAATACACTCGTTAATGTCTGTAACAATTAACATTCAGTTGTATAACACATACATATACAGTTGTATTAAACTGTCGGGCACTTTGGTGAAACCACATAGCACAGGAAGTGTCGACAGACCTGGAAACATAATTGGGTAAAACCAGGAATCGAACCCATGAGCACAGCAAACTGCGGTATCTTGGACGACTGGGTCATCCGTGCACCTTAATGGAAACAAGTGAGTGAGTTAGGTTTTAAGCCGCTTTTAGCAATATTCCGGCAATATCACAGCGGGGGACACCAGAAATGGGCTTCAAACGTACCTATGTTGGGAATCGAACCCAGGTCTTCAGCGTGTCAGGCGGACACTTTAACCATTAGGCTACCCCACCGCCCCAATAGAAATATGTAAGAATCTGGCGATCCTGAGTGAGTGAAAGTTAGGTTTTACGCCGCTTTTAGCAATATTCCGGCAATATCACAGCGGGGGACACCAGAAATGGGCTTCACACATTGTACCCATGTATCCTAATTTTCTTTGGAATTGAACCGGTCTTCGGTTATTTATATTTGATCTGCGAGCCAACGCTGTAACCACTAGACTACCCCACTCGCCCGGGCAATCTTGAACTACTTTTGAGTTGTATATGAACTGACCTCGGGGACTACACAAGCAAATGTTGCAATCTTACTACTTTTGAGTTGTATATCTGTCCGTATTTCATCTGTCCGATTTCAGCCTCTACAGAAGTAATAAATACATCTGCTAATGTAATAATCTTATGTTCTACCACCGACCACTGTGACAGGCCAATCACAGTTATCAAGTATTTATCACTATTAGCAGCTAATTATAGAAGCTGCCCTCACTAAATCACATCATTTATCAGCACATTGCAGAGACACTGACACTGTCAACTTATTAATATAATTAACAATCTGATAAGTTTCCATATTACTGTCTGCTTCTTTGTGTTGTGGCATTGACTTACTCCCCTTATCACAGAGTTTATTTGATTGGGAGAGGAACAATGACGGCTTTGAGTTGGTGTATGATGTGTTGAAGTTCATGTTGACAGCAGGAAAGGTGGCGATATTGCTCAATGGGTGATGGACATAACAATGGAGGATGGCACAGAGAGTGAGTGAGTGAGTTTAGTTTCACACCATTTTTAGCAATATTCCAGCAATATCATGGCGGGGAACACCAGAAATGGGCTTCACACATTGCACCCATGTGGGGAATCGAACCCAGGTCTTTGACGTGATGAGCCAACACTTTAACCACTAGGCTACCCCACTGCTTCTTCGACGGCTCAGAGAGGCGAAAAGGATAGAGAGAATACCATACGTTGTTATGTTACCTTCCAACTTCTAAATGCCCATCAAGCATCAGATGGAGAGAAGGGAAGAGTTGGTAGTGATGGTTAACATGGATAGGGGAAAATAAATATAGGAAAGATGTATAGAAAGGGGAGATGGAAAGAAAGGTTAGCAAGGGAAGTGAGTAGTTTTATGCCACTTTAGCAACATTCCAGCAATAGCACGGTGGTGGACACCAGAAATGGGCTTCACACATTGTACACGTGAGAGGAATCGAACCCGGGCCTTCAGCGTGACGAGCGCACACTTTAACCACTAGGCCACCACACAAGCCCCAGTTAGCAAGGGAGAGTAAAGGGGATGGGAATGGAACAAATTGAAAAAAAATAAAATAAAGTGACAGAGAAGATTTGGGTTTTATGTGGTCACTTATAAGCACTACAGAGTACATCCTTAATCTAAGACTGACTGACTGACTGAGTTTGGTTTTACGCCGCTTTTAGCAATATTCCAGCAACATCACGGTGGGGACACAGAAATGGGCTTCACACATTGTACCCATGTGGGGATTCGAACTCCAGGTCTTGGTATTGGACGAACCAAAGCTTTAACCACTAGGCTACCCCACCGCCCCCTTAATCTAAGAAGCACAGAAAAAAAATCTCATTTTAAAAGACATGCAAATGTTTACATGTTTGCCTGCTAAAGGGTACTGAGTGAGTGAGTGAGTTTAGTTTCACACCATTTTTAGCAATATTCCAGCAATATCATGGCGGGGAACACCAGAAATGGGCTTCACACATTGCACCCATGTGGGGAATCGAACCCAGGTCTTTGACGTGATGAGCCAACACTTTAACCACTAGGCTACCCCACTGCTTCTTCGACGGCACAGAGAGGCGAAAAGGATAGAGAGAATACCATACGTTGTTATGTTACCTTCCAACTTCTAAATGCCCATCAAGCATCAGATGGAGAGAAGGGAAGAGTTGGTAGTGATGGTTAACATGGATAGGGGAAAATAAATATAGGAAAGATGTATAGAAAGGGGAGATGGAAAGAAAGGTTAGCAAGGGAGTGAGTAGTTTTATGCCACTTTAGCAACATTCCAGCAATAGCACGGTGGTGGACACCAGAAATGGGCTTCACACATTGTACACGTGTGAGGAATCGAACCCGGGCCTTCAGCGTGACGAGCGCACACTTTAACCACTAGGCCACCACACAAGCCCCAGTTAGCAAGGGAGAGTAAAGGGGATGGGAATGGAACAAATTGAAAAAAAATAAAATAAAGTGACAGAGAAGATTTGGGTTTTATGTGGTCACTTATAAGCACTACAGAGTACATCCTTAATCTAAGACTGACTGACTGAGTTTGGTTTTACGCCGCTTTTAGCAATATTCCAGCAACATCACGGTGGGGGACACCAGAAATGGGCTTCACACATTGTACCCATGTGGGGATTCGAACCCAGGTCTTCGGCGTGACGAGCCAAAGCTTTAACCACTAGGCTACCCCACCGCCCCCCTTAATCTAAGAAGCACAGAAACAAAAATCTCATTTTAAAAGACATGCAAATGTTTACATGTTTGCCTGCTAAGGGTACTTATTTGGGAATCCTAGACAAATCCATAAAAATATATTTCAAAGACCTCAATGCCTTGTGAAACTCATGAGTGTGTTTAAAGTGTATATGAACCATAACAAGCAAAATTTATATTTACACTTCAACCAACAGATCCTGCCTCTGCCAGGGGAGGCAATAGTGCAAAATGAATGAGACAGAACCTAAGAACCCTGGTTAGCAAGGGAGGCAGAAGGGGATGGGACTTGAAGAAAGTGAGTGAGTTTAGTTTTACGCCGCACTCAGCAATATTCCAGCTATATAGCGGCGGTCTGTAAATAATCGAGTCTGGACCAGACAATCCAGTGATCAACAGCATGAGCATCGATCTGCGCAATTGGGAACTGATGACATATGTCAACCAAGTCTGTGAGCCTGACAACCCGATCCCATTAGTCGCCTCTTACGACAAGCATGGATTACTGAAGGCCAATATTCTAACCTGAACCTTCACTGGTGAGAGAGGGGATAATGACTGAATTTGGTTATAACTGTGACCACATGAAAGAGGCGAGGTGAAATGGGGTTTAACGTCGCACTTTAGAATATTTCGCTCATATGACGATGTGCATGCATGTGTATGTGTGGCTGCTTGTACTAGCCCAGACTTAAGCTGGTTTTATTGTGCAAGCCCACTAAGATACCATGCCGCAGTTAAGCATGAATACCCCACTCAGACACATTATAGTGACTGAGCCGACCGGTCCTTGTTGTACCCATTAATGCCGAGCACCAGGCAGGGACCAACAAGTACCATATTTTAATGTCTTTTGGTATGCCGCCGCTGGGGATTAAACCCGTGACCTTCCGCTCTCTGGGCGGACACTCTAACCACTACACCACAGAGGTCGTCCCCACATGAAAGACACAGTAAACTCATGTCATAGCTTTGAGAAGCAGACATGCATTTCACTGACTACAGGACCAACAAAGAGGATCAAAATGGCTTTAGTGCTTAGTTTCACACTACAGCTTTGAATACAATGTTAAAATAATCCTTAACCTGAGAAGAACAGAATCAAAAACCTATTTTTGACAGACATGATGAGGTCTCCTTGTTTGCCTCATGAGTACTTATTTTGGAATCCTAGATAAATTCCTGTAAATATATTTCAAAGACATCAACAACTCATGAAATGTGACCATAACAGAAGCAAAAAGCATATTCAAACTTCAACCATCAGATCCTGACTCTGCCAGGGGAGGCAACCATAGACCTCCCATCCGGTGTGAGTGAGTGAGTGAGTGAGTGAGTTTGTTTTTACGCCGCTTTTAGCAATATTCCAGCAACATCACGGCGGGGGACACCAGAAATGGGCTTCACACAATGTACCCATGTGGGGATTGAACCCGGGTCCTCGGGATGACGAGCCAACGCTTTAACCACTAGGCTACCCCACCGCCACCCATCCGGTGTGGGTCAGGTAAAATAGAGTAGGGCATGTTTAGTCGCCATACCAAATCAATCAACAGACATATTGTGTGCAATGACAAGCAACAATCCTCCCATCAACAGCATGACTGTGTTAGCTGTGATGTCGCCGTAACTCGACACCAGGGATTGATTCAGCTCCACGTTGACGTCACGCCATCTATAACAGGGCACTCAACAGCTCAGAGGGGTTGATCCCAGATTACTTGTGGCAAAACGTCACCATATCAATGTGACAGATCGTGACATTTCTCACTCAAAGTTGGCTCTTGTCGCCTTATGAACATAGATCCATGAGCTTAGGTTAAGCTCAAGTTAGGAAGGAATTTTTACAGGTTTATGAGCAAATGATCATTTTGTCAGCATTACCTCTAGAATGTTAAAGTGTATATTAAACATGATTTCTATTATACCATCGTGATCCATGTTTATCACCTCAGTGAAGTCCAAAGGCAAAGAGTTGGTGCCAACAGATCATAATTAGTAAAAATTCAAACTCAGTACAGAATTATACAGCAGTGCTAGGCCACCTTTGGCAGTATTACACTGACTAAATCATTCATTAAGGATCTATTGATTGAGTTTAATTTTGTGCCGCTTTGAGCAATAGTCCAGCAATATCACAGCAGGGGACACCAGAAACGGGTTTCACGCATTGTACCCATGTGGGGAATCAAACCTGGGTCTTCTGCGTGATGAACTAACGCTTTAACCACAAGGCTACCCCACCAGGCCCATCATTCATGAGAACATTCACTTGCACTGAGGAAACCAATTTTTTTCCTGTTTATAAACCTTGAACTGTTTGACAAAAATCATGTGAAAAAAACTCATGATATATTTGAACATGTGAATAGTGTATCCAAAATCATTTCTCTAAATTAAGAATCTGTGAAGGATTTATGGACTTTAAGACTTCAAAATCAGATTTTTCTTTTTTAAAAGAATAAACAAAAACCTCCAAGTTGATTAGTTCACAAGGGATTCCATAGATCAACAGGGACATCACAGACGGTTGACCTAACTTTGTAAAAATCATCCTAAATCAGGCAAGTACTTTAATTCAAAGCTTGAGGGTGTGTTTGAGCAGTTTATTGGATTTATGGAGGGTTTGAGATGAGTTATTGATTTTAATTCCGTATTTTAATCAAGATCAATAAACAGCATGTTTGTGAATCTCCACAGTGAAATCTGAATTGATGACTGAAAGGAACTTTTACACCGAAGTCAGCAATATCCCTTCAAAATCAAAGAAGCTTGTAAACAATCATGGCTAGGTCAGTAAAATTAGAGGTTCACAGCACATTCAATTATACACATTGCCCAGGTATGAAGACATATAACCAGGCACACAACCAGCCTGATGACACATTAACACACAACCAGGAAGGTCACACACTGATATGTGAAGACACACAACCAGCCAGGTCACACACTGATATGTAAAGACATACAATAAGGAAGGTCACACACTGACGTGTGAAGAGACACAACCAGCCATGCCACACACTGATATGTGAAGACATACAACCAGCCAGGTCACACACTAACATGTGAAGACATACAACCAGCCAGGTCACACACTAACATGTGAAGACATACAACCAGCCATGCCACACACTGATATGTGAAGACATACAACCAGCCTGGTCACACACTGACATGTGAAGACACACAACCAGCCTGGTCACACACTGATGTGTGAAGACACACAACCAGCCAGGTCACACACTGATGTGTGAAGGTCACAACACTGACATGTGAAGACACACAACCAGCCAGGTCACACACTGACATGTGAAGACACACAACCAGCCTGAGGTCACACACTGACATGTGAAGACACACAACCAGCCAGGTCACACACTGACATGTGAAGACACACAACCAGCCTGGTCACACACTGACATGTGAAGACACACAACCAGCCAGGTCACACACACATGTGAAGACACAACCAGTGAACTGACATATGAAGACACAACCAGCCAGGTCACACACTGACATGTGAAGACACACAACCAGCCAGGTCACACACTGACATGTGAAGACACACAACCAGCCAGGTCACACACTGACGTGAAGACACACAACCAGCCTGGTCAGTGAAGACACACAACCAGCCAGATCACACACTGACATGTGAAGACACACACCCATGCCATGTCACACACCTGACATGGTGAAGACACACAACCAGCCAGGTCACACACTGACATGTGAAGACACACAACCAGCCAGGCCAGGTCACACACTGACATGTGAAGACACACAACCAGCCAGGTCACACACTGACATGTGAAGACACACAACCAGCCAGGTCACACACTGACATGTGAAGACACACAACCAGCCAGGTCACACACTGACATGTGAAGACACACAACCAGCCAGATCACACACTGACATGTGAAGACACACAACCAGCCAGGTCACACACTGACATGTGAAGACACACAACCAGCCAGATCACACACTGACATGTGAAGACACACAACCAGCCAGATCACACACTGACATGTGAAGACACACAACCAGCCAGGTCACACACTGACATATGAAGACACACAAGCTTGGAAGTGATGTCACCATATCAACAGCTATCATACACTCATATGCATAATAAGTTTGGTTAAGCTTGGTCAAAACTAAAATCAAAGTTTTTCAAGTTGTCTCAACACATAATCAGCTTTTCAAGACTTTTCCGGGACAATATATATTTTTCAATAAATTTCCTGGTCACATCCATAGAATTTGAAATGGCTGGTCAGCTGACATGGTAGGCCACGGCAGGTGCTTGGGAGGTAATCCCCATGTAGCTGTGTTGTGTTTTCTTTAATTATATGTGACAGCTTACCGACACAGGAGAAGCCATCTTTCCCAAGTCTGTATCCAGGGGGACAGCGGCAACGGTAGGAGCCGTTGGTGTTGGTGCAGTTGTGTTGACATTGGTGTTTTCCGATTGCACACTCATCAATGTCTGGAACACACACAAAACATTAAGCAATATGTAAAACAGTCAAAAAGTCAAATGATTAAACTGATATTTAGACTGACTGACTGACTTTGGTTTTATGCTGCTTTTAGCAATATTCCAGCAACATCACGGTCGGGGAACACCAGAAATGGGCTTCACACATTGTACCCATGTGGGATTCGAACCCGGGTCTTCGGCGTGACGAGGCAACGCTTGAACCACTAGGTTACCCCACCGCTCCGCTTATATTTAGACATACCGGTAACTATCCTGTTCAGCATGATATTTTACTGAGGAAGAGTTTTGTCAATTTTAGACATCAGCACACCAACCAATTATTACATGAATTAACAATATTATTATTAAAAAATAACTAAAAATCACAATAAGGTAAATGATCTTCATATCCGTATTTTAAAGAATTGGTGCACTGTTAAATTTGAGCATATCACTGAGCAGATATAGACCACCTCCCACAGGCACAACATCACTTCAGACACATGCTAGAACTTGGTCATTACATCCAGTAACATGGAATAAAGAATTTAGAAGTCAATTTGTCTTCCCATCTCACTATAATTTGACAATGAAAAACTCAACTGAGTTTTTTCCATAAACAAATTTATCAAATTTTTGTTTCAACTTTTGATCCAATTGGATTTAGAAAAAAAAGAGTAAAACCAAATAATTAAAAAAGGTGTTAGGATCTATTGTCATGCTGGAAAACATGATATTATATTCATAAGATTTACAAAAGAAAGACTTTTATATACAGGTCACAGTGGTGCTTGACACACACCATACAGTCAGTGAGTGAGTTTAGTTTTATGCCGCTTTTAGCAATATTCCAGCAATATCACGGTGGGGACACCAGAAATGGGCTTCACACATTGTGCTCATGTGGGGAATCGAGCCCGGGTCTTCGGCGTGACGAGCGGACGCTTTGACCACTAGGCTACCCCACCGCCCCCACACCATACAGACATTATATACCAAGTAAGTGGGATATATACAAGTGTTAGCATGATTTGTGTATACAACATGGGTTTTACAGATATATATCATGGGTGTTAGTGTGACATATAGCAAGGGTGTTAGTTTGATAAACAGCATGGATGTTACATACAGGAGTGACTACGGTTCAGGTGATGAGTGAAGAAAGGAGGTATAGACACAGCATAGAATGAGACTATGAAGAATATTTCCTCTGATCAGAGACCATATAATATATGGTCTCAGCTCTGATATAAAATAAAATGTGAAGTATTATCCTTTTCAGAAAGAATTTAACCATTTTAGGTCACATCACATATAAAGATCAGTGTTGAAAGTACATTTCTGTGCCTGAAATGTAATCAAGGTTGTTTAAGATGATCTTATCAAGAAATCTTCACAATCCAGCAGCTGACTAACATCTCATCCCTGTAATGAATATATCTTCAAAAAGAAGACATTTCCTAAATTATCTTCATAAAATATAATAAAAAGAATCACAAGAGTCTTTCAATTTGAGAGATTAAACAAATCTGCAGAGTTTAAGTGCTTAGAATTACTGTCCACACTTGTGAATTCAGAATATTTGTGTGAACTCCGGAAATCTAGATTTGCCACATATTCTAGCCTTGCATGGGCTGTTTGGGATATATTTGTTTCAGAGTCCTGTTCAATATGTTATTACCTGGAAAATAACCAGGTTTGAGAGAAGAGACTTGGAAACAACAACATTCTGCTGTATTGGACAACAAGATGAGATTTTCAAGATGGCTGCCATATAATTTGATTTATGGGTATAATTGTTTGAATGATTTGAGAAGATGTCAAGAATTGACAAGAACATGCCAGATTTAAGATGATGTCTATCATCATATCAGTTTCATGAGATTTAATACAATGAAATCTACAAAGGGCATGGATTTATCCAATATTTCAAACTAAGTGCCTTTAGCTGACAAATTGGGAAAAAATATTGCAATGTTTGCCAAAAGTGGATTTTCTAAAATTTAATAAATTTGAAGACATTGGTAAAAAAAATAATTTCAAATTGTGTTTTACTCTTATTTGCTGCAGATTTGGGGTCATATATGGAGAGGTCAAGATAAATCCTTGAAGTGAAGTACACTAGCTGGACCCACACTGAGCTTCATCGGCCCACTCTCAGTGCAGTAACGGTCATAATAGTCTATAAGTCTTGATAATGTACGGGAGGATCACTTCAGCAGAGATCGCTTCACAGACTGTGGGCCAAGACCACAGATATGCCAGCATATCTTGTGTGTTTTTGTTCACTTTGCATGGGTAGTGTGCTTCTCAACTGCATGTTGTCGAGTCATGAATATAGATTGTCCTAGTCATTAAGTCAGGTTGGTGAATCAAAATAGGGTTGAACAAGCATTGTCACTAAGGTGACATAATCCCCGCCGCAAATTATCAAATCAAACTTAAAAAGTAATGAAAGTGAAGGTCGTAATTTAGAGATGAAGTTAAATGTCAACAAAAACATGACCAGTCAACCTATCTTGATATCTTGCTCTTGTAGTTGTTCAAACGCACAAATATTGTCAAGACTCACTTTGACCCTGACATGAATGTCTTAGTGTATGAAATATGCAAAAATAGTAATAAAGAAATTGCTTATTGAAAAACATTCAAGGGAAGTCTTGAAAGTCTATGAAGAAAATCCAGTGAACTGTTCTTGAGATATCTCGCTGACAATCTTAACATGCAGTTTAACATGCTGAAATCTTCAAAGTTTTGCCATGACCTTGAAAATTAAGTGAAAGTCACCAAAATCGACTGGGCCTTGCACCTTCCAGTGAAGAAAGTCCAGTGAATGGTTCTTGAGGTATCTCGCTGACAAGCTTAACATGCAGTTTAACATGCTGAAATCTTCAAAGTGTCCCATGACCTTGAAAATTATGTGAAGGTCACCAAAATCGACTAGAACTTGCACCATCCCTAGATGAAGCTTGGTGTCAAATATGAAGAAAGTCCAGTGAATGGTTCTTGAGGTATCTCGCTGACAATCTTTACATGCAGGTTAATAAGCTAAAGTCTTCTAAGTTTTGCCGTGACCTTGAAAATTAAGTGAAGGTCACTAAAATCGACTGGCCCCTGCGCCTTCCCTCGATGAAGCTTGATGTCAAATATGAAGAAAATCCAGAGAACGGTTCTTGAGGTATCTCGCTGACAAGCTTAACATGCAGCTTAACATGCTGAAATCTTCAAAGTGTCGCCATGACCTTGAAAATTAGGTGAAGGTCACCAAAATCGACTGGGCCCTGCAACTTCCCTAGATAAAGCTTGGTGTTGAATATGAAGAAAATCCAATGAACAGTTCTTGAGATATCTCGCTGACAAGGGTAAAACATTAAAGTCCCCTTGTGACCTTGAAATGAAGGTCAAGGTCACTAAACCTGACTGGGACCTTTCTTTTACTGTGATGAACCTAGGAATCCAGTCAACGGTTCTTAAGATATTACAATTCGTACAGATGGACGGAGCCTAATACTATATCCCCCACTTCGCGCTAAACACGTGGCGGGGGACAACTAATGCCCTTTTTACAGAGTGAGTGAATGAGTTTAGTTTTACGTCGCACTCAGCAATATTCCAGCTATTTGGCAGCGGAATAGCTAAGATAAGGTGTCAATGCCATATTTGTGTCCTTCTGAGAGTTAAAGGTAGGAAATATCATCATACTCGCATCATACTCCTTATTTTGTTTGTTTGTTGTCGACTTCTAGTGGGCGTTTTACCGGTTCCGAGAGTACAAGGAATTTACGTAGCATTATGACCTAAACACTAACAGACCTGACTATGGGCGCCACCATATTTGATCATTCGCAACCTGTTCGGGTGATCTTGTTGTCCGTTGATAACGGCGGACAATTTTGCTCACGGAAATATTCAAAGATGTTTGATTGTTACATACTATTAGAAAAGAACAAAATTGTTCATTGGCTGGAAAGCATTCACTAGACCAATCACATTTAGTGTTAAATAAATGGGTAGGCTGATCTGTGGAAGTTATAGTTTGATTGATCATGAACTATACAGACGTTGTCTAGCTACCACAATTGTAAATAAATTTTCAAAATATTTCTTGTAGTCAATGACATGGTCAAATATATACCCTTTGAAAATGTATTGGCCCACAGGGCTGGCTATAAAATAAAGTTGTAATTCATGTAACTAGCTAGCACCGGGCCGACGGGCCGCCGCTATTTCATACACTGAGTACAGGGAGGACTGGATAAGCTGTGCTTAACACAACTTAGAATAGATCCAGTATTCCAGCATGTCCACTTTATATGGGAGGAAACTAAGGAGAACATTAACACAACACAGTTTGTTGGCTGGAACCTTATATGTTTATAACCAGTGAGGGAGTATGGTTTTACACCGTTTTTAGCAATATTCCAGCAATATCACAGCGGGGGACACCAGAACTGGGCTTCACACATTGTACCCACGTGGGGAATCGAACCCGGATCTTCAGCGTGACAAGCCAATGCTTTAACCATAAGGCCATAATGAACTAAAATTAGTGGTTCCTTTGACTTTGTTATAACCACAGTAAACTAACAGGGTGAGATGGGTACAAAATGAGATTTTGTCCCCTGTGACAGTTATACAGCACTGGTAGTTTTAGTTATATTATATTTAGTTTTATGTCAGATAAATTCCACTTAATGTGTGAGGAAAGCACAGAGTGATGCAGGTCTCAGATGTGTGGAATGTGGGTATGTGTGTGGTGCTAGTAACATGGGATTTGAACCAGCAATCAGAGGATTCAAGGACCCCAAGGGAAACAAGTCTATGAATAGCAAATCGCAGCGCCTCAGGTGACCTTGCAACCATTAGCCTACATTTATTTGTTGTTTAACAGCTCACTCGCCAATAATTCCAGCTACATGATGGAAGTCCGAAAAATAATCATGTTCGGACCAGACAATCCAGTGAGTGATATCATGAGCATAGATCAACGCAATTGGGATATGATG